TTGGTAAATTATCTAGCTCTTGACAATTCCACAATCTATAATAATGTTTTGCAGGGAGAGGAATCTCATGGAATACCTGGTCTTATAAACCTGTTTGGAATTGAATCACCAGGTCTTACTTCAAGCATGGCAATTGCAGAGCACGTTGCGGCCAGACTACCAAGATTATAGACCATACTTTTGCTGATACTTAAAGGCATTTGCTGTCAAAATGAGTGCAAATTCGTGTAACGTATTTGAAGCTCAAAAGGATGCCATTGGTTTATAATGTTCTTGAAATGAAGGTGGGAAATGCTTTCTGCTACGAGATGCGAAAGCATATGTCAATAGATCAACTATGTGATTGTTTCTCTTCTAGTGGATATGTTAGTGTTTTTTTTTTTGGCATAGTGCTCACGTACGTTGTAAATAGACCATCTTAAATTATAATTTTATTTTTTATTTTGTACCCAAATTATCTCTATATTTGTGGATTATATATACATAAAATAAGTGTAAAGTTAGAAAATAAAAAAGGCAGAATACAAAAGAACACATTAGGTGGTTAATTTGAATACTTATTGGTTGTTATTGATATTTATATTTCAAATATTTTGCTTCTACCACAGCTGTGGGCAGTATTTACCAGAATTTCTATCAAGAAAAGAGTTTTTCACCCCAAATTACATTTAAATTGGAAAAAGTTACAATCTTATAGTAAATGTTTGACAATTGAAGACCAAAAAATAGACTAAAACTCAATAGAAGTGAATACAAATTTAATTAAAAGAAAAATTTATGTATTGGTTTTTTCGAAATTAACAGTCCAATCTCAAGCACCAAGACTGTGACAAATCAAATTTTTAAATAAAAAAAAAAGATAAATATTAAAAAAAATTGAATCTAAGCAGTGAACAAAATACATCATATTCTCTTAAAGTCATAGATCACATTCAGATTATATCATCTAATCAACAATTGATAGTAAGACAACATCAAATAAAGTTAAGAAATAATACAAAAAAAAAAAAATCTCATATAAACAACCAAGAATTCTTGCATTTTGAGCTCATCAACTTCAATTTTTTTTTTTTTGGGCAAGTGTTACTTCATAAAATCCATGATAATTTGCAAAGGAAAATAAAACTTAAAGACAAAAATTGAGAGAGTTATGGAAATTACAGAGAAGAACCAAAATATTAATAGCCTTTATTATTTAAAGAGGAGCAATGTTATGCTTATCAAATTATTTACTAAAATTTGTATTACAAATTAGTGTAGTTGGTTGGATTAGTAAAGTCTACTAATTTCCTCTAAACATTTATTGCAGGAGATTTTGACATAATATTTGTGATACAATATTTGGTAAACAAATTTTAAAAATAGTTTTATCCTTTAAAGATTGCAGATTTCTCTATTGTTTGAAAAATGAGGGTTTGGAAGGAGAGTATTATTATTCTTATATTATTTTTTTAATTTTCTCTAATGTTATGAATATAAAAACTCTTCCTGTGAGTAATACTATATATTCATTGCATGCAAATAAAACTTAAAGACAAAAGTGTAGAGAGTTATGAAAGTTACAAAGAAGAACCAAAATACCAATAGTCTCTATTATTTAAAGAAGAGTAATGTTATGCTTACTAAATTATTTACTTAATTTTATATTACAAATTAGTGTGGTTGGTTGAATCAGTAAGGTCTACTAACTTCCTTTAAATATTTAATGCATGAGATTTTGACACATTATTTGTAATATAATATTTGGTAAATAAATTTGAAAAACACAATTTTAGCCGTTAAAGATTAAAGTTTTCTCTACTATTAGAAAAATGAGGGTTTGGAAGGAGAGCACCGCTATTCTTATTTTATTTTTTAATTTTGTCTCGTGTTATGAATATGAATGGTCTTCTTATAGGTAATACTATATATTTATAGAACTTGTAATTGCAAATATTTACTCCTAGAAAGGGAAGAGTTTGAGAGTTAAAGTGGAAAATAGGATATGATTGTCTTTATATGATTAAGTAGGGGTAGAATAGAAAATATAAAGTTTTTCTTATTAGCTTTCTTTTATTAGTAGTATTGATATACATTTGTCAGGGAAAAAATCCAAAAAAGCTCACCAAGTTCCATTGGAACAATTGCAAATTGAATCGGATTTAACTCTGCTGCTCAAAAAATAACCTTAAGGATTTTATGCAAAAGACTCTAGTGGGCAGTTGAGTATAAGTCTTCATTCTTGCTACATACCCAATACAAGATCTGCAGATGATCAATGTTAATGCCATCCGTATTGTTGCGGGTATCCCATTTACTGCCTCTTTAGTCACCAAACCATCGTCATGTTTCAAGGCAATCGGCTGTTCAGTTTTGCATTTTAAGCTCTGTTTAATGGTTACTGTAGGAACACAAAATTATTGCGTGTGATTAGACATATAATGATTAAGTACATGCACGTAATTGATTGTATCAATATGATGCTCACTTAGAATAGTAGAGCCGAGCCCGACATAATCACAACACATAATGCCGAATTGAACTAATGAGTTCGGTCGAGTTAGTCAAACCATTATTAAATTGGTTGATGTAATTTAGCTCGGCCGACTCAAATAGCTCGGTGTACTCATGATTACAAAAGTCACTCAATCTCAATGAATCAAGAGGGATGTTGCATTGATTAAAACAAATCACGGACAAACATTATTCGCGTGTTCGAATAAAAAGACTAACAAAAAAGGATCTTATTGTTGATCACTAAGTAATTCGACTGAATGTAAGGTGTGTCACCTCACATTGCTGAAAGGAGAGAAGCTTTAGAGGAAGGGACATACCACTATAAGATTCGGGTAGGTTAAAGTCAAAGGTACACACCATATTACCCTACAATTAGCTCTGATTACATTTCAGACCTATATTGACTTAAGCATCGTTGTGCCTCCGACTAGCCCGACCTAATCTTAGGCTATTTGTTCATTTTGTAAGGGGAATATGAACCACTAAAACAATAAAGGGTATTTTTTTTCACTGCTTACAATTGGTGCCGTCGTCTGTTGGAAACCTGAACAAAAAATACGATGTCCAGCACAATCGGATCTCCGATGAACAATGATGTTGGGAACGACCTCGATGAGAATTATAAGGTGTCATTCTGATCTAACAGCAACATCAGAGAAGATGCCTTTCGAAGTTAGGATGAATATCTTGACAACAACGACAATCTTTTGTCGGCTAGGTATAAAGAGACACAAAAAGAAGGACAACAGCAAGAGAGGTCCCCTTGTGCCGATGGGGAAATCCCCGCATTCATGAAGTTAGTTCAATCCCTTTAGGACCGACTGGAGGTGCACAATGCTATGCTCAAAAGGTCCTACAATGAGGAGAAGAAATTAGAACGAGAGAACGAAGTCCTAAAGGGTGTGCTAAAAAGATCTAGGGGGACGAATGTCCAGAGAAACCCAATTATTGGGTCATCGGTAAAATAGGCGAATGGGACTGGAGACATAGGAGTTTAACCCCCGAAAGGAATAGACCAAGGCATAGAGAAGATTCACAAGAGAAAAATGACAAGAGGAAGTCGTCTCGTACAAAAAACCAAGAGGACGCCTAAAAACGCTTCATTGTAGAAGAACTCAACAATAGATTAAAGTGACCCGAGCAAAAATCTACTAGGGATTTGGTGAGAAGAGCAACTAAGGAATACATTGGAGGGGCAAAAGTTTCACCCTTCTTCAGATGGATAGAAAGGAAGGGGTCCCAAGTAAGTTTACCATCCCGAATTTTAAACTATACGATGAAAAAACAAATCCAACCACACATATCCGTCATTACAGACAACTGATGGTAGTCCATGAAAACAACAAAGCCCTATTATGCACAATGTTCCCTAGCAGCCCAGGCGAATCAACAATGAAGAGGTTTGACATCCTAGCTAGGAATTTTGGGGCGCTCCTAAAACTGGGGGTCCTTTGTTAATCCGTTGATTATCCATCAACCCGCGAAAATACATGTGAATGTTACATAACTCGACACCATGACATTACATCCCCTTTACTGGGATCACACAACACAAAGTCTGGATAGAATCTCCCCCGTATCGAGTATTCCCAAACGCTTAACTTGTGTATACTTCAATCACTTGACCCATCCGAGGTCTAATATACATCAATTATCCTCATATAATGTCCATTCATATCATTTGAACAAAAAAACCTAAGACCTAAAGGCCTAGCAAAACATTTCAAAAATTTGAAGTTTTAACAAAACCTACTAGTAGATGATGTAAAAAATCTACCAGTAGAATTGTCTACTGGAAAAGTTTTACCGGTAGGAAAACTTGCTAGAAAAGATCTACCGCAAAACTTAAAGTTTTACCGGTAGGTTTAGCCTACTGGACAAGTTCTCACTACAAGAAATTTGTCATTTAACCGTAAAAATTATTGCGACTAAATGTATAAAAATTGTCACTATATATTTTAGTGATAACTTTTTTATTGCCACCAAGCCACGACTATATGTCCGTGGCTAAATTATTTAGCTACAACATTTAATTTGTTGCTACTTTTTTAGTCGCAACATGAAAAGTGTCACTAAATATGAAATATTTAACTGCAATAATTACTGTGACAAATTATCGTAATTTTGCCACTAAAATGTACCTTGTCATCACTAAAAGTTCGATTAAAATTTGACTTTTAGTGACAATAATTAATCACAACTAAAAATATACATTTTACCTACAACTAAAATCATCACTAAAATTTAGAACATGTTTTTAGTGACAACTTATTGTCACGGTTAATACATTAAAATTAACAGAATAAAACCTATCATATATTTTAAAGAATTTATTGTTGAATATTTCTCAATTTCACATATCTGTAAGAATTTAATGAATATATATATATACCTAATGAGGAAACAAACAATATTATAAACACTCACTTTCCAAGATATAATTTCAAATCCAATCACGCGAAAATAATATTCTAATATTAGTATCATTAAATTGTACGTGTACAACGTATCATCATCAAAAAATACAAATGAACAAAAAAAGTTATGATCACAATTTCAAATTGTCATTGCAACTACACAATGATACCCACTCAAAAGAAAATAATTACATAACAATCATCATAAAGTCTTGAGTCACAACTACATATTCTTTTTTTGAAAGATTATTGGATTTTTTGTCTTTAGTCTTTGGAGGTGAGCCTTCCAAAGCTGTTTCAGAGTTTCCACTGATTTGTACCTAACAAAAATTACTCAACATTAATAGGAAGTACAAAGAGTATAACATATTAATAATCAACCCTAGATCAAATAGGAATTTATCTACCATATGAACAATCAACCACAAATGACATCAGAATTTTTGTAACAATCCATTATATCAAAAGCAATTCAATCCTATCGGTACATTTCAATGCTCTCAGAGTCGACGACCAACATCACGACCTTGAACTAGGGGTTGAACATGTAGCTTATGTGTAACTACTCAAAGATACATCAAAGAGAAGAAACTAACAACATAGCATAGAATCTTACCCCATTGACGAACAGGAAATTCCCACCTCTGTTTGGGAACTATAATAACATATGATGCAACCTGCAAAGGATTGAGAACTCTTTTAAAACGAAGAAAAACAGGAGGAAAAATGCAATAGATTACTATAGTAAATGCAGAAAATTTCAGAAAACTTGCCAATATGCATGCAGCTAGAGAACAGGGAGAACTATAAAGAACAGACGTCTCCTCCTCTCATAGAGAATATCCATACTATCCATGAATGCTTCAAAGCTCGAGTGTTCCCCAACCCTTGCAACTCCCCTGAATTCACACAAAGTATAGAAGAAATGAAACAAGTGACCCTATAAGGATTACATATTAATTGAAGGGATATCTAACAAAATGATTGATAAACTATGGAGCTACACACCCTTGAAAACATTGCTGAAAATAAGTCTTACTGCTTCTCCTCTGCTTCAAAGAAGATGAGGCTTTATCGATTCTACAACCACCTGTGTTGCAAAGAAAAGGAAATTAAAATCATAATTTGAACATCTAGGCAGCAGCACATCAAAATTGTGAACAAGGTTCGACAATCAGGCACCAACAGTTCCAAATCCAACTTATGTTCCTCAGTTCTTCATTACGTTGGGTAAGGCCTGAATACTAGCAAAATGTTGGCACAAGTCAAATTGACATAATACTACTACTCCATAATGGTTCTGTTTATGTTTCCTATTTTCTGTCATACCAAAACGATTCTGCATGAACAAATAAACAATTTCAAAAGTGGTAATAAAACAATTTAGAATCAATAATATTTTGTATCTCACATGAAATTTAAATTTTGTATCCCGAATGAATACATTACTTTGGACGAGTGGGTCTCCTTATAAAGAGTTAACAAAACTCACTAATCCAAGAAACCCTATTTATTTGGATTGAAAGTAAGCTCTATTCAATTTTAAAACTCACAACTAATATAATAAATTAGATTCCCCGATCATTACTCCTATAAAATAAAATACTTAGCGTTTTGAAAAAAAGTCACATGCAGTCCTATAAGTACAAACCCATTTATCCTTAGATGTACGAAAGCACTTCTTATTTCAAAACTAATTTATCCAACCTCGTCTCCATTCCACAGAGACAAACCACAACGTACCCACTTATTCACGTGTTGCCTTAATAATCACAACAAAACAATCAACACACATACTCATCCTGCTCAACCTTGTCTCTGCCCATCCATCCAATTTTGGTTATTGGGGCTCTGGAACGTTTGAGCTTTCATTGGCTGCTTGCTCTATTTTTCACTAAGACTATGGTTTGTGTACTCTGCCATCTGAATTAATTACAACCTATCATTAATCATTCTGAGGTAGAATCATGTCAATTGCAAAATTAACAAACATTGGTCTTCCATCCATATGAAACTTCCAATACCAATCAAACTTTGATAAGTATGGATCGTTATAAGCAAGTGATAATGCATGGCCTCTAATATTATACATTTTCTGATTACATCACACAATAATAATCAACCTAGCCTATAGAAGAATAATCTACCACGCATTGGTATTCGATGTCTTGAATATATTGCAGTGCATGGCATTGCACAATGCAAATGATTCTGCATGAACTAAGAACCGTCTATCCTAATGGTATCATAAACTGCAAGGGCAAGCCCAGTTAGATTGTTACAGAATGGTCTAAACTCGTTGATTTCCCACTTGATTCAAATAGTTTACTAGCTATCAGGATGAGCAACATCATCTGATGCTCACCATGTTATTTGGTATAACTTTGAATTAGAGACCAGAGGACAAAGAATTCAAGAGATTTCAGATCCTCTTTTTATTTTTGAAAAGTAAATTTTGTATCCTTCTATGTAAGAAAAATATATATCAACCAATAAGTGGATAATTTCCCAGTTATTATTATCCCAACCATAAAAAATAGTTTACTTACCCTCCCATCATAGGACAATGATGCAAATATCCAAAGCTCTTTAGAACTCCAAGCAAGGCCTGCAATTAGAATAGCAGTTAGCCAAATTTCAGTCAAGGTGAATAGAAAATTGAGGTATAAAAATTTTACAGGCTTCACTATAAAATCCTCTGCACCTTCTTCCAAACGCCTGCCCCCCAAAAAATTTTAAAATAAAAATTAATAACAATTGAATTGGTACTTGTATCAGGAATGCCACAACTATTTGTATGTTTTATGGATTTTTTTTTAAGAAAAAGGGGAAATAGTTTTTGATAAATTGAGATTAGTCCTGGAAGAACACCAGAAGTAGTTATAACATGATTGATCTCTGGCTCAAGAACCTCCCGAGTTCAAGCTTTGATCTATGTTTATCCTTAGAATGATAATTCTTCTTTGTAAAAATTCTATCGGTGAACCATTTTCAACAAAAGTAATTTAGGTAAAAGCACATAATAAGCTCACCTGTCAATTCCTGCCAAAACATTTTTCGGATGACATGATCACAACTGGTATTTCCCTAAAAGTAGATGATCCCTGTTCACATATCAAATTTGGAATATATTGAGTAAAATTAAAAAAAAATATCTCCATTAATTCTAAATCCATTCACAATGTGATAATAAAATAAGAATTAAAAAAAAAGTAAAAATGAACCTTGATCTTCTTGAGCAACTCATAACCAGTCATTCCAGGCACACAGTAATCTGTGATTATTAGATCCACCTTCAAACCCTATAATCAATCAATCAATCAATCAATCAATCCCATTTTCAAGTATATTATTCGACTATTTAACACCAGAAAGATTCTCTGTTGTAAAACCATGACATACAAAATTTCAAAATTTTAATTCCACAATCACATACATAATTCACTTACATCAAAACCAACGGACCTCGTTTCTTCATCCAACCCTAAAAACTGAAGAGCTCTTCTCCCACTATCCACCACTGTCACTGTAACATTCAAAAAATTTCCAAATATTCAATAACTGATTTTGAATATACATACATCATATGTCTCAGAGAGAGAGAGAGAGAGAGAGAGAGAGAGTACATGTTCTGTACCTTTACAGGAGGTGATTTTAAGTAATCGTTCAATTGCTTTGCGATCAACAAGACTATCATCGACAGCGAGAGCATGAACTTCTTGAGAATCAAACAACGGTAATACATCGTCGAATTCTTCAATCTTCTCGGACCTCTTTCGCCACCATTGCTTGCCATCTCTCTCTCTCAATTCGCTTCAAAAACCTCTCGACGACAAAATTCTAAACAAAAGAATGTCAAAAAAAGACAGAGCACAATCAATCACTCGACCACAATCGATCGAGAGAGAGAGAGAAATCAGCAGACGAATATGAAGCTAATTTGAAGCCATAGCTTAATACCTAATTTCTCAGAATCCAAACATTGTAAACGAATTAGAAAATTAATTGCTGAATAGCTTCGTCCTCTTCAGATCTGCTCTGCAATCACCGAGAGGATGAGAGAGATAAGCCTTTGTGCCATAGCCGATCCTTGAGCTCGTGTCTGAGATAGAGTTCGAGAGGTCGCAAAAGAGAGAGGGGGGCTAGTGTGGAAGAGAAAGAAAGGCCGACAAAGAGAGAGAGAGGAGGAAAGTACATGTCAACTGAGCTCGTATATAAAGTTTCACGCAAAAATCTTGGGAGTGCTGAGAAATCTGCTGCAGTAAAAAAAATGTAGTGACTAAAAATAATTGGTTATCTAGATTATTAGTGAAAAAAAAAAAAATTGTTGCCACTAATTATTTTTTCATCAAATATTAATGACAAATAGTTAGCTTTTAGCCATGACAATAAAACTGTCACTCATTAAATTTATTTTATTATATATGGTGACAAAAATTATTTTTTAACATTAAGAATTTAAATTTAATTAGTGACTAAATTTAAATTGTTGTCATTGAATATTTGGAATTAGTGGCGAATTAATGATGTGTTTTTCGCCGTAACATTTAAATTGTCACTAATTATATTTACTACCATATCTTTAGTGACAATAATAATTTTCACCACTAGTTATATATCTTTAGTGGTGATAAATAATTATGGTCACTAAATAATTTGAATATTATATCCTTAGTGGTAATAATAATTTTTTGTCATTAAAGATATGTATTTAGTAACAACATTTTTAGCTGTAATTTAAATCTAGTGGCTAAAATAACTATTTCTTGTAGTGTCTATTGGTAAAAGTACTTGACGTTCTACTGGTAGGTCTTACCAATTTTCATCCGTCTCCTTCCTTTTTCAATTGCAATCCATTCCAACCCTTTATAACATCAACTCAAACTCATACAATAGGCAAATTTACATAAAAGTATAGTCCTTATGAGTTCGATTACAATATTTTATTTACATTACCAATCCAAAAGCGAAATGACATGTTAGTTTTACAAAACATGAATCTAAAAGCCACATCTTGGCCTTTCTTCAACCAAGAGGACCCCATTGAGAGCTGTCCACCGACTCATATCCCACATCTGAAATGTTGTCCCCATAAAGGGTGAGTCATGATCAATAGAATATCTCCTAAAAAGGCTACCCGCTAACCCAAATGCATATGAAATGTTCACATGCAATTTCAACAAACAACAATCAATCCACTCAAGAATATGTAATTTATAATGAATTCTCTATGCCATGTCATGTTACAAGATAGGACTCATACATGAAACTCAACCTGAGCCTTTATGGGTTCCCTCAACACTTGCAACGTCATGTGTATGAATCCGGATATTTCAAGCCCCCATCATTGATGTTTCACATCCAACGACCATTTAAAATTTTGGATTTTTCTTGGGGCGGGTATTTATGGACTCACAACAACTGACACCCAACCAACACAACATTAATGGACTTTCACCAACGGCTCTGCGTATGCCGACATACTTTATGCACTCAATACCAATGGAGTGCGTATCCGAATTAATGGGTCTTGCACCTGAGGGATAGTCTAGCACTTCTTACTAACCCGACCCAATTTTCAATGCAACTCGTGCGACTCTGTTGAACCTTGGTCCAACTATCCCGAGCCCACGAATCATCCACCAAGAATGGTGTTTGATCAAACCATGCACATACACCCGCACTCTTGCGTAATGCCCATGAATGTGATGCCTCCGTGCATATGCAATGTAATGTACAATTGCGATACTAATTTCATGTTCAATATGTTATGAGTGTCATATGAACCATTTCAACCACATTTCAACAAATTCCATAGCAAATTATATCTTATGCATATAATTACCATGAACCATCTTAATGTGAATACATCACCAAGTATATATCAACATTATACCCAACAACAATTTTTAAGCATTTTATCACATAATCTCATGCAAATAACACACTTAATTCTCCAAGGCATAATATAAACACATAGCATGCCCACATATCACAATTTTTCAAGAAATTATAAGCTAGCAATTTCTAAATACCAATTCAAGCTAGAATTGATTTTACCTATTCCCAATACCCATTTCATCAAATTAACAACAGTTGGTAAGTGTTATATACCTCTAACACCCTACTCATTCCATATAATCACCTTAGGTTAGAAATAAACCTAATTGGGGAGAAAACTCTACCTCTTGAAACATAAAATAAGTTGTAAAACCTTCAAGAACATCAACCAAGATCAACCCTTTGATTTTCCTAAAATCTCATCTTGGAAACTTTGGTGAAATCTGTTCTTTTAGGTACGTGGGCCTAGCTCTTGTCGCGTAGATCAACTTTAATACTTGGCCCAAAGGATTTTAACCAACGAAACTCCGTAGATTGTACAGAGAAGTTGGAGTTTTTCTCTTTTTTTCCACTCTTCCTCTCTCCAACGAAACCCAGTAGAATGTGTGGGGAGAAAATCTAATTTTCTCACTTATTTATATTCTTTAGGTGCTTGGTCCACATTGCGCCACATGTTTCTCATTGTCGGATCTGATTTAGTCACGGAACAATTAAATTTCATCAAGGTTCAAATTCAAAATATTTTTATATGAACTTCCTTTAAATTATTTTGCAACTTTCGAATTTTATTCCATATCTCATTTTTAGGTCACGTGATATCCGATTGCCTTGTAAAACGTAAAAGAATTTGACTGGATAACTAAATTTCGCGAGATGAATCCGACAGTGAGGTCCGTTTTACCACCTAAGTTCTAGAAAAATTTAGATTTTCAACTCATACTGAAGTGGCAAATAATCGTTTGACCCTTTTTCACAAAAATTTAAATTTACCTTGGTTTTATAAATTCATTCGATAGTTGGGTACATCTCGCTGAGCAGTTCACAGTTCGATACATTACTAGCAGTCGGTAATCGAAGGATGTTGGGGCTCTACTTTCCTTGAAGAAGAGAATGGAGAGACGCTCTATTAGTATGCTCACTGATATTTGGAGATTATAAATGAAATCAAAAGTTACAATCCCAAGATCGCTATCACATCCTTCAAGATAGGTTTACCAAAGGAGAACCAACTATACTAGTCACTAACTAGAAGACCAGTGCTCGACAGGGAATAACTTATAGCCAGAATGGAGAAATAGGCTAAGATTGATGATGACCTCAGTAGGGAGGTAAACTGAGATCAACCTAGCAAGAAACATATCAAGAAAGAGAGATTGAATACACAATCTCAATTTAGGCAAAATGGAATGGAAAAGGAGGGTTTTCTGTCAAGATCCTCATTTTCTAGGGTAAACACCATATTCAAAGAGCCAATCTACCAAATCTTGTGCCAAATAAAGGGAAATCCATTCTTCAAATGGTCGAACAAACTGGGAGGAGGCCCAAAGAAAAGGAACCCGAATCTGAGGTGTTCTTATGATTGTGATATAAGACACATAATTGAGACTTGCCATGCCCTGAAGCATCACCTCGAAGAACTCATCCAGGCTGGGCACCTGATCTGACCTGATTTATGTATACACCCAAGNAGTGAGGTCCGTTTTACCACCTAAGTTCTAGAAAAATTTAGATTTTCAACTCATACTGAAGTGGCAAATAATCGTTTGACCCTTTTTCACAAAAATTTAAATTTACCTTGGTTTTATAAATTCATTCGATAGTTGGGTACATCTCGCTGAGCAGTTCACAGTTCGATACATTACTAGCAGTCGGTAATCGAAGGATGTTGGGGCTCTACTTTCCTTGAAGAAGAGAATGGAGAGACGCTCTATTAGTATGCTCACTGATATTTGGAGATTATAAATGAAATCAAAAGTTACAATCCCAAGATCGCTATCACATCCTTCAAGATAGGTTTACCAAAGGAGAACCAACTATACTAGTCACTAACTAGAAGACCAGTGCTCGACAGGGAATAACTTATAGCCAGAATGGAGAAATAGGCTAAGATTGATGATGACCTCAGTAGGGAGGTAAACTGAGATCAACCTAGCAAGAAACATATCAAGAAAGAGAGATTGAATACACAATCTCAATTTAGGCAAAATGGAATGGAAAAGGAGGGTTTTCTGTCAAGATCCTCATTTTCTAGGGTAAACACCATATTCAAAGAGCCAATCTACCAAATCTTGTGCCAAATAAAGGGAAATCCATTCTTCAAATGGTCGAACAAACTGGGAGGAGGCCCAAAGAAAAGGAACCCGAATCTGAGGTGTTCTTATGATTGTGATATAAGACACATAATTGAGACTTGCCATGCCCTGAAGCATCACCTCGAAGAACTCATCCAGGCTGGGCACCTGATCTGACCTGATTTATGTATACACCCAAGTATAAGTGATAAAATTATAATACTTCTCGATTTAAGTCTGAGGTTAAACCCATAAAGAGCTAACTTTTTGAATTCGAAATAGAAATGGTAAAATTGTCGTGCATGTAACGTGCAATGAAATAGCTTATAGTGTGAGCTTAGAACTAACAAATAAATACTTAACTATAACTTTGAAAGATAATGATAAAAGTTACTTTTCAATTCGGGTATCCAACATGCATTATATTGTTTGTTTATGAAAATACCTCCTTACAACAATTAACTCCCATTGTATTAGAAAGTTAACCGGTAGGTTTGATTTATATCGAACCATAACACTGATAAGTGGGTTTTATATCTACGAATTGAGTACTTTCGGCTTAACAAAAATTGTAAGTTTTCAATTGTTTTATGTTTATTTTTATTTATTTTGTGTGTTTTGATGTTATTTTGTAGGAATGA